CTGTTTGGGTTGGTGGGAGATCGAGCTTAGTGGAGTGCATTGGCAACATAAATTTTGCGAAATACATCGAAATATTGGAGGTAGGACTCTTGCGACTTTATTCCTCGGGTTTCGTGGACAAGAACACAACGTTGTTCCAGGAAAATGGAGCACCGTGTCACACTGCTAGAAACACCCAAAAGTGGCAGGAAAAAAATGGTATCCAGAAGTTGCCCTGGCCAAGCCAATTTCCTGACATGGACCCCATTGAAAAACCTCTGGGCCATACTGAACCGGCAAGTCCCACAATATAAAATTGATGAGATGATTCTCATGATGACCCAAAGGATCAACGAACTCCACGAATAAAAAGGAAGATCTACTAGATATTAATTAAGTTATAAATATATCAATTCATGTGAATATGATGGAAAAATTGCATTTTTTCTGAAAAGGTGTTGTCTATTTACTTGTGACCACGCTGTGTATAATATTTCTATCTGCTTTCACTGAAAAAATAATGAGTTTTAAAATGAAAACTTACAGCAATGGCACTATGGAAACTGGTTCCACAACCTATCAGTAACAGTCGTCGACAGCGTTTCATCTCAGGAATGTAATCCTTGATGCCTCCCAGAACTACAGTCTCTCTCTCAAAATTGACCCTTCCTCTCATAGTGTTGATTACTGACTCAGACTGCTCAAATATTTCTTTCTGCATGAAGGAACTGTAGTTACCTGAAATTTTGTGTAATAATAGAAAGATACTTCAATAATTATTAAAAACCTAAGATCACTACACAATTAAACACACACACTGTAAAACAAACCATGATCGAAAAAGGTTCTAAAAATTAAGAAAAAAGCTAAAATCACTCAGTAAAAACTGTACTTGCATAGTCCAACCATAAAGTATCCACAGGAATTCCTTATGCTTATAACCTATCATACAAACCCAAGAACAGCTCAGGTATTCCGAGAAAACAGTTTACCTGAATTTACTTTTGTTTCATTCCAAAAGAATGACATTCAAAAATATCCTGGTTCATTTTAATACTTATAATATCTTGCCAAAAACAATTAAACGGTTTGTTGTCCTTTTAATAGAGTAGGTTTTCAGAAATACTAGTTGTAAATAAAAGATTAGAAATGTGTAGATACTTAAAGAAGTCATATAAAAAATTAAGGTTAAAAAACAAACTAAAATAATAATCTTTGAACTTAACATGAAATTAACTAGCTGTCATTTTTGTATAGGAGAAGACAAATATTTATTTCTTACTGACATGGAATATATTCCATTTAAAAGACCACTTAAACTAGAATTATGGTTGCCATAGTGATATACGGTATTTAAAGGGTCAACCCATTTTCCTTGTTTCATCTCTTCATTCGCTTTAATTGGATTCCAGTTTCAATCCGTAAGAAAAACCATATCCTTTATAGATTGAAATACTGGGCAAGCAACAGGAATGCTTCTTCTTTTTTAATGGTGGGTACAATGTTTTCCTAGAGTAATTTGGGTTTTTATAAGATACTAGATAGTTACATGTATGAAATCATTGTGCAAGCATAACCGTTTTGGTGACTTTATAATCAATTTTGATTGTTTGTTAGAGAAGCTGCTTGTAATTTTAATGATGTATTTTTTAATCTTTCCTACATTGTAATCATTCAGTTTGAGATTTTCTTTTACAACTTTTTGTTTTCCTTAATTAATGCTTATTTTCAGTTGTTGTTTTTTTACCTATTATTCCACTCCTCCATTACCTTGTAAACCACTGTTGAAGTTCCTTTCAAATAAGTAAATACATTGTGATTTTCGTGTACATTATATTACTAATTTTTAAACTTCTCATTCCTTTTCACTTCACCATTTAAGATGGAAGGTCTTGTCTACCTTCAAAAGATAAAAAAAATAGTACTTGAACAGTACTTCAATATACTGTATACTGCAACAACTCTTACTTGCCTTTCATTATCTGCTGGATTTCCATCTTCAGTGTAATGATCTCTCTACCAGTTGTATCATCAAGTGTACGTTTTAGTCTATGAATAGTCAAATCTATCAATAAATAAAAACAAAATATTACCACTGCATATCATGTGATAAGTGTAATATTTCTTTCATATCATTCATAAACTAACCACCACAACTAATATTGTTCGACAAACTAATTAACAAAAACTACAGAAACATTCTTATCACTCAGATTTACAACTAACTAATCCTAAACTTACTGACTTATGTTTTTATTATTTACTACTGGTGGGGTCCACATATTGCATCATATTAAGTAACCTTATATATTTTCCTGTCATAACATTCAGTGTAAAGATTTGCATTAAAAATGTGGTAAAATCATTCATTTTCGCTATACAAAATATAGGGAATCCTAGTAGTAATTAGTGGGATTAACTGCAATATTGATAATATTTTAAATTTTTTTCTGTGTTACACCAAAGTCATGGACCTACAAGTAATGGGCATATAGATGGAAAAATTTGTTTAAAAAGCCAATATGACAGTATAGACCCCATTGGTAATTCAAGGGTAAATTCTTATTATTTTGAATTATTTTTTTCTTTTGATCAGCTCTCTGTGCCTTTGAAAATTGGTAAAATTCACATCTTCTCTCATTTATGTAATGCATAAGAATTATTTTTTCTTATGATCAGCTCTCTGTGCCCTTTGAAAATTGGTAAAATTTGCATCTTCTCTCATTTATATAATGCATAATAATTACTTTGTTTCTTGAAGCCTTATAAATAGGAGATGTATACTTTATAACTTAATAACATGGCACATTTCATGATTACTTCATCATCAGATTTGGAAAAAATTATATTGTGCACAAAAACCCCTTAATCCAAAATTAACATATTTTCTTAATCATAAAAGACAATATCTAAACTTACTGCCATCTGACACTGCTGCCACATCATCATCCTCAAGAAATATCACACGATTTGTGTGTTCAATTATAGCACTGAAACATGAGAGAAAACAGATTATCACAGTGTCAAGCTACAGCATTGTTAAGTATAAAAAAAAAAAGGACCTTAAATAATAATTACAATGAAAGTAACCTTTTAAGCAGGATAGTTTAGAAATGATGAAGCTATTGAGTTTGAAAATAAAGAAATGATTAATAGATTTAGATTGTTCTAAATGAAAATTACTCATGAGGCACTCATGGAAATATAGTTGTTCAGCTGTTTTGTTTTATTTATCTATCACAAACACTTAAACATCACAATGTATTTGATTTTCTATGGTCACTCTCTGCTGAGCACTATTGGCTATACAGATATCATAAACCCTTCTATAACATATGAATGTATCTATATTCCCACAATTTTATAATATTTTGATGCAGGTTTCTGTACTTGTTACAGTTCTAGACCAACAGGATATACTCAACCTTGAACTTG